CGCGCCCACTGACTGTGTTGCGGGGAGGAGGGGCGTGCCACGTGGTAACCGGTACCCAGTGGGGCAAGCGCACTACTGTGTCCCCCGTGCCGGCGGCAAGCGATCGGAGCCGCGCGCGCCTTGGGTCCTGAGGGCTTGGTCCCGGCTTCCTCGGCGCCCGCGGGGACGCCGCGCGTGCGTCAGGGCTCCGGGCTGGCCCGCGTGCGGAGGGGCGGGCGCCCAGGAGGAGCTGCAGTGTTCCCAAGACCCGGACGCGCGAAGATGCTGTGGCGCCCCTGGGCACCCCTGCCTTGCCGCGGGGCGCGCCTCTGGCTGGCAGAGTCTGAGGCAGTGAGGGCGGTAGAGATCGCCTGGGCAAGACCCGTTTCAACGATCTGGGCGGTGCGGTAGCCGATGAGGAGAGAGGACTGACTTTCCAGGGCTTGGACCGTGTCTCCCTCTCCCTTCTGCCCCGCCGCCCGCTGCTTGCCTGTGTTTCTCCACGCAGGAGTCCCGGAGGGAATGGTTCTCTTCCTCCCCAGCACATTGGGATTTATTTCTGGTTTTGCCGGCTTTCTGTGGTTCAGCCGGCCTTTGCTGAAGTTTCTTGCTACATCGCCTAAAATCCACCCGTTTCTTCAGACCAAAGAAACGTTAGCTCACCAGACCAATAATCCTCCTTACGACGGAATCTGGACGGGGAAACTCATCTCTGGAGAGGAGAAAAAAAAAAAAAATCTGTACAAGAAGGTTCACAGCAGTTTAATTCATAGTAACTGACACTGGACACAGGGCAAACGTCAGCCCACAGCAAATGGCACGCAGAGTGGCCACCGGCCATGGGGTGGAAGGCGCGTGAACAATGAAAAGAGACAAAGCAGGGCACGCACAACAGCGTGCACGACTCTCGAAGGTGTTTGGCACAGAGAGAGCATCTAGGCACGAGGGCCGACGTGCGGTGTGAATCCATTTATCGGATGTCTGAGAAGCGACAAGCCTAGGCAAGGGTGCTGGGTGCAGCCCTGGGGCCTGGGGCGGGGGCGGGGGCCGGCCGGGAGGGTGCGAGGGAAAGGGTTTGTCGCTGGAGCGTCGGGGTGGCGACACAGCTGGACACATTTCTCAAAACTCTGCCTGGAGCTCAAATGGGCGCATTGAAATTTTCTAACATTTCAATTGGGGTATAAAATACTTACATGTAACATAAAGTTTACATCTTAAGTATTTTTAGTGGACAGTCCAGTAGCATGAAGAATATCCACATCGAACAACGAGTCTCCAGAAGTTTCTTTCCTCACAAAACTGGAACCCCATACTCATCGAGTGACTCCTCCAATTGCTCTCCCCCCAGGCCCTGGCGCCCACCATTCTACTTTCTGTATTTGCGATTTCACTGCTCTAGCTGTTAACGGGAGAAACCTGGCCTTCTTCCTGATGCATGTAAAGGCACACAGATCAGCAAGTCTATTTGCGTGCCTGCATGCAGGGTTTATTGGAGATCCGTTGCCATGGAAGAGGAGGGCCCAGCTAAGGGCAGGGGTGGGGCGGGGTGGGGTGGGGCGGGGTGGGGTGGGGCGGGGTGGGGCGGGGCGGGGCGGAGACAGGCATGGGTTCAGGGTGGAGCGTGGCTGCGCAAGAAAGGGCGGCTGAAGGCCGGTGGCCAGCGCGCGACCCAGGTCATTTGTCCTGAGGACTTACGTAGTTGGTGGGGCGGGGGTGAAGAAGTTACATGTTGGCTGACAGGTCAAGGCGGTGCCAGCTTCCCCGGGGCAGGTGACCGCCGAAACGCAGGAGTCAGTGGGGGTCTGGTAGCCCGAATCCTTGCCTCGCTCCACACTCCGCGTGTTCACCTTGTCCTGAAACAGACCCCTGACTGGATGCAGTTAATCATCATTGCGGTGCTTACCCAAAGTTCTTCCTACGCTCTTTCTCTAAGCCCTAGGGCCCTCTCATAAAACACAGTGCCCAGAGGTAGGCCATTAACCAAAGCTGTCTTGTGGGCTTCTTCCCTTGGACGCTGTGGACCCTTTCCCGCCTTTTGTGCCTTGGGGTGGGAGCACAGCTTCAAGGCTCTCTTTCCCAGAGAGTGGGGACGGTCCACGGAGATCCAGAGACCGCCCTCCTCCCGCTCAGGGGGTGTTTCCTGCGAGGCTGGAGCACCTGGCACTATTATCGGACCAGGCTCAGGACTGCTGAGTCGGTGGATGAGACCCGCCCGCCTCCTCCTCCCTGCCTTGGTTGGCTCCTCATTCCGCCTAAGTGCTAAGAGGGGTTCCCTGGCCGCCGGGACGCTGGCCGCGGGGCCCGCAGCAGCCGCGCCGTCTCAGAGCCCTTCCTACACTACCTCCTGCCTCACAGGTACTCAAGCAAGTGAAACGATACCGGGCCCGTCCTTTTGTGACCGGTTTATTTCCATAGCGACAGAGAGTTGGCCGACGCGATGAAGGATTTAGAGATTGGGGGTCAGCGTTATGTGTTAAAGAATTGGATTGATCTTTGTCCCTGGCTCTTGGCAAGGGGCATCTAAACCTCTGGGGTTTCCCAAGCGCTAGGAGTGTCTTTCATCTTCGTGGGGACGCGTTGGCTCATGCCTGAGTTTGTATCGAAGAGCCGGCTCAGGGTGGGGGCTGATCATGCCAGAAAGACCAACCACGAGGGGAGGGGCACTCAGCCAGCCCCCCTCCAGGGAGGGCGGCGGCTGGAGATGCCGAGCAGGCCCCTGAGCAAGGGTTCACCCATCACAGCTCCCTAATGAAAGCCAAAAACACTCTGGACACCAATGCTCACAGGGCCTCCTAGCCGGCGGGCGCACGGAAGGGCCCTGGGAAGCTGGGAGAGAGCCCGGGGGCCCTGCGTGGGGGCCCTCGCGGCCCTCGCCCGTGGGCCCTTCCTTCGGCTGGTCTGCGTTTGTGTTCTTTGTAACACCCCTGTAAACACAGGGCTTGCCTGAGTTCTGAGCCATTCCGACAAACCCTGGAACGAGAGGGGGTTGTGAGAGCCTCTGAATCTGTATCGCTCGGTCAGAAGCAGCGGGTCGCACGTGTGGGTGGCTTGGAGAACCCCGAACTCGCAGTTAGGGCAGTCCTGTTAGGGACGGAGCCCTTGATCTGTGCGCGGCGTCTGCACTAACGTGCCTCATTGCAGCGCCACAGGGAATCGCCCAGGGTTTTACCGCGTGGACCTTCAGGTGCGGCCGCCAGCGTCCTTACAGGAGGGAGGCGGAGGGGGGCGGGCCCAGAGGGGGAGGCCCCGTGGCAGCGGAGGCGGGGTGCTGCGCTTTTGGCTTTGAGACGGAAGAAGGGGACGCGGTCCAGGGAATGGACGGGTTGCTGCGATAGAAGCTGGAAGACAGGGAAGCAGACTCTCCCACGGAGCTTCCGGAGGGAGCCGGTCCTGGTGACTCTGGATTTCAGCTCAGCGAAACTAATTGTGGGCTTCTGTACTGGACAGAATGTGTGCTGTCTTTTTTTTAAGTTATTTTTTAAAAGAATGCGTTTATGAATTTTAAGAGAGCGGGAAGGGGGGAGGAAGAGAGAGAAACATCAATGTGTGCTTGCCTCTCACGAGTCCCCTGCTGGGGACTCGGCCAGAAACCCAGGCACGTGCCCTGACTGGAGACCGAGCCGGCGACACTTTGGTCCGCAGGCTGACACTCAATCCACTGAGCCACACCAACCAGGGCTTTTTAAAATTCCTTACCTGGGAACATGTTTATTGGTTTTAGACAGAGAGCGGGAAACATCAACGTGAGAGAGAAACATCGACCCATTGCCTCCAGTACCTGCCCTGGCCGAGGAACACACCTACAGCCCAGGCATGTGTCCTGACCAGGGACTGAACCCAGAACTTGCAGGCAGACGGGATGACGCTCCAACCGGCTGCGCCACCGGCCAGGCCCCCAGCGTGTGCTGTCTTAAGCCAGCAGCGGCGGTCATTTGCTATGGCAACCCTAACCAACACATCCACCCCCGCAAGCTGACCGTCTGAGGACCTGTCAGTCTGGCCGACGGGTCACCAGGCATGCACTCTGTCCAGGGCTCGGACAGCTCCTGAGCCTGCCTGCGCCCCGGTCTGAGCGGCGGCTGCAGAGGGCGCTGCTCGGAGCCGCTGGGCAGGGCAGTGGGCGGTCCTCTGTGCCCTGCTCAACCGGCGCCCTCAGGGCCGGGCATCCGGGGGCTGCAGCAGCTCTGGTTTCGGACTCAGTTCTCACCCCTGAGTGAGACCTGACTCCGCCGGAAATTTCGGGGAGCCCCTGGCCCCAGGACCGGGGCGGGAAACTTTGGGAGTGCAGAGTGAATCCAGATCAAAGGCCCCCAGCTGATGAGGCCAGGCTCTGTGGCCCCCGTGCCCCATCAGTGGGCGCAGCCCTACTTCACAGCTTCCCACACTGCCCCTGCGCCCCTCCCTCCCAGCTCCACGTGCTGAAATCCCGTTGTTCCTCGAAAGTCCATCTTCTCTGGGATGTATCTCCCGACCGTGTCACCCAGCGGCCACAGACGCTCAGTGCCCGAGACCGCAGCAGCCCCTCTCACAGCCGCCTCAGGGCCTGGTCTCAGGCCGCCTGAAGTCGCCACAATGCAGTGACAGTCTCTTCCAGAAAAGGGGCCACCACTCTGGTGTCTCAGCACAGCCTCTCTCCCCGAGGACACAGTTGGCCCCTTCGGAAGCAGCTGGCATCTCTCCGTGGAGCACTCCTCCCTGGAGTCACTGGTCCCGCTGTCCCTGGGCCCCGCGGGCCCAGAACGAGACAGCCGGGCAGAGGTGGGGGCCAGGACAGGGCCGGCCTCACTGGTGTGTGCCGGGCGCCCACAGCCCTCCTGGCCCCTCGCAGGCCCCTCGCTGGGTTTCGGGGCATCCTAGAGCCTTGAGGTCAGGCAGAGAAGTTGGGGGCACTCGCAGGAATCACGTCAGAGCCTCTGGCATAAAGCTCAGAAGAGCTTGCACAGCCGGGAGCCAGATTCCTATCCCAAACGTGTGTTGGTGCGGCCTTGGGCTTCGGGGGTCCGGAAGGGCAAGGGGGGTCGCAGAACCCCTATCTTTGAGGCCTCCCAGTCTGGGGGGAAAGGCGGGAAAACCAAACAGCTTGTACTCTGAGCCATTTGACCTTGGCTAGAGAGGGACGTGGCGTCAGATCACAGGGCCCAGGAGCCAGCATTTTGGAACAGGAGGAGGTGAACCCCGCTCCGCGAGGGAGGGGAGTAGTTGGAGTGGAGGTTCCATAGCGCAGGCACTGGGCCCGGCTGAGCGGGGCCATTTCTCCTCAGTGGTGGTGGGAGGGAGAAGAAAAGACACACAGGAGTCCGCGGGCGGAATGGCCAGGGGGGCAAGTGCTGGGGGCAGGTGCTGGGGCCGGGGCGCAGGCGGCAGTGCGCCTGCCCATGGCCCTCGGGGGGCTCAGCAGCTGAGCCTCTTCTCGCAGATCCAGCTGTCCCTCTCACTGTCACACGGGGCGTCGTTCCATAACCCGGTGCGGAGCATCATGATGCAGTCCTCGCGCCCCATCGAATCATTGGGCTCGCCCAGGTTCCAGTGGCTGCAGGGGTGTGGCGCGGATGGGGCTCAGGGTTGGGCTGAGGACCGCCCTGAGGTCCAGCCTGTCCTTGCCTGAAACTAACCTCGACGCCCTGACAGTCTAACTTAAGCGAGCACCTGGGATATCACTCTATAAAGCCCAGAATTTGTCCCTCAGCCAGTTCCTGGTGGCTAGCTTGCCCATCCCTAAGGGGTCCCTGAGATCTGTCCAAGGGACTTACCCTTAGGGGCTGACCTGTCCCCTTCCCCACGTCCCTTTTCTCACCTGAAGCTGAGCGGGACTCCGTCCACCCACTGATAGCCCTGGATCTTGCTCGCGCGGCGCACGGCCCTCAGGCCCAGCCAGTAACCGCGGCCTCGCGTGTTACGAGCGAGGAAGCCCTAGGTGGAAGGTGGAGTGAGGTCACCGCTGGCGCAGTCGGTGCGTCCACACTTCCCGGGCCGCGACCCCTCCGGCGAGCTCCTCCTCCCGCTTGCGAACCCACTGCCCAGGTCTGCACCTGCTCCTCCAGGTTCCCGACAATCACCAGGTGCGCACCCGCGCCCGCGCAGTTTTGCTGCGCCTCTTCCCATCGGGCCCGCTGCACCGAGAAAAGGTAGCAGGAACCCTGGAAGGGCAGCCACGACGCGGGGCACTGCTCGCAGGACTCTGTGGGGAGGCAAAGGCCAACGAAGTAGACGGCTCCCAGGCGGAGCCGACGGAGGGCGGTGGGGGCCGCAGGGGCAGAGCCATGGAAAGGGCGCGCAGGGCCCACTTACCCCCCTGCGCTCTCCCCCGCCCTGTCCGACTCACCGTTTCCGAGGCGGACGGCCTCCAACGCCCGGAACAGCTCACTGCGGATGTCCTCGCGGTCCCTTCCCGCTTGAGCCAAGCTCTGGGTCACTGCGAGGTGAGAGGAGTCCAGGTTACGTGTACGGGGGTCAGGGACAGGCGTAGGGTTGAGATCAGGTAAGGGGCAGGATCGGTGTCCCTGGTCAGTGTTACGGTCCAGAATAATCAAGGTCGAGGTCCGTTAATGCCGGGAGGGTCCCGTGGGGATGGGGTTAAGAGGTGTAGTCAAGGGGCGGAGTGCGGGGCTCAGGGTGAGGATGGGGCGCGATCGGGGTTAGAGGTCAGGATCGCAAAGGTCAGGATGTAAATCACGGGTCCGGGGACTGGTTTGGTGAGGGATCGGGTCGTGGCGGCGTCCCGCCCTCACCGCGCTCGCTCAGTTCTTGCAAGGCGCTCTCCTGCTGGATCAGCTTCACCTGCGCCTGGGCGAGCTCCGTGCGCGCGGTCTTCAGCTGCGTCTGCGAGCTCCCGCCTAGGAGGGGGCGGGGGTGCGGCCGTACGTCTGCGACCGCCCTCCGCCGCCGCCACAGGCCCCGCCCCCAGCCCACAAGACCCGCCCAAGCCCGCAGGCCCCGCCTCCCAGCCCGCAAGTCTCACAGCAGCTCTTGCAGTCTCCGAGCTCTTCCTTCAAGGCGCCCAGCACCACCGCCTGCTTCGAGGCTGGAACGACCCCGCCCGACCCACACATGCCAGGTCACCCGCGGGGACTCGTGGGACGCCCTTCCCCATTCCGGGGCCAGCTCCGGATGCCCTGCGGTACCCGCCCACCTACTCACAAACCCAGCAGCCCCTGGTCTGCACGCACCGTTTGCTGTCAGCAGGTCCTGTTGCCCGAGCAACTCCCCGTGCTGCGAGGAGGCTGTGGAGAGAGGCTCCTGCAGGCGCGGCCCCGGCACTCGGGAACTCTGCCCTCCCCCGAGGGGTATGGGGACCCCAGTCTTGGCACGCACGGAAGGAGCGGGCAGGGGTACAGCGCACATGATGCGCCCATGCGCCGAGGGGGAGACAGGCACACGGGGCCAGGCGCACACATTCATGCACACACAGGCACACTCGTGTGCGTGCACACAGCTCGAAGATGCACACGCGCTGTTCACACGGGTTCACCCTCAACCCCAGGCTGGGGTGCGGGACCCGGCTGGGCGCCCTGGGGCGGAGGGAAGAACTATGCTGGAAGTCGGGGGGCGGGGTGGGACACAACGTCCCGATGGTACACGGTCACTCACCCTTGGAAAGTAGGACACTCAGGATGAGGACCCACAGGACTGTGGTGACCAGGAGAGCCAGGGCCAGGAAGGGGAGTCGCCGCCCCCAGCGTCCGCAGTGCCCTTGGGTGACGACAGACTCTGGGTCCCCCCTGTACCAGGGCAGTCCTGGCTCCCTGGGCCCTGAGGACGGTGGCCTGGACGCGTGGGTCCCGGGACACTAGGGTTCCAAGAGGCCAAGGGACTTGCCTATGGTCACAGCCCTTCAGTGACAGAGCTGAAATTTGGACCTATGTCCACTTGCCCCTGAGCCTGTGGGGTCTCTCCTGTGCCCACGAATTGCTCCCTCTGCAGGCTGTTCTCCTCCCTTCCCCCATCCAAGCCCAACTCAGAGGGACCCACGGGGCCCAGCGAGGCGGCCCACTCATACCTCCGGGGACCTCGAGGAGCCCGCCGTCCCACCCGCTGCGCCCGGCAGTGTCCATGGCGAGCAGGCTCCCAGGCCTGGACACTGATATAAATATAGCCCCTCCCTCACCGCGCCCACCCCACTTCCTTCCTTTCCCTGTCCTGCTGTGTAAATTCCCGGTACCAAGGACCCACTGGCCAATCACAGGGTTCGCTGGCCCTTTCTGGGCTGAGCTGGGGCAGCGTGAGGTGGGGTAGGGAAGTGGGAGAGCGGGGAGGTGTGCGGGTGCGGGGAGCGATGTGCGGGGAGAGATGTGCAGCGCCCGGGAGTCTGCGCTGCAGTGGCGGGGGGCCCGTGGGCAGGCGAGTGGGGGCGGGCTGGCTCAGCACCCACCGCCCCGGGCTGGCCGCGGCAGCCCCATCTCCAGGCCGGGGCCGGGAGCTGTACCTGGGAGCTAGGTCCCCATCTCTTACAGGTCCGAGTCTGGGATCCCCCTCCCAAGAGGGTCAGGCTGAACCTGTCCAAACGCCAGCCCCTCTGCCAGGGCCCCTGAGAGAGCCCCGGCTGGCCGGGACCCCCGGTCCGGCTCGGCTGCCCCCCTCCACTGGCCCACAGGTGAGTGCCGGGGCCCGAGCCTTAACCCAGCCCAGAGGACACAGGTCAGCTCTGCTTCTGGGCTTCGGTCTTGAGGGGTTGGGCGGAGGGTGTATGTGCGTAGCGTCTCGACGCCTCCGGTTTCTCCTCTGTGCAAAGGGGCACAGTGACCAGTGACGGGGGCCTCCCTCCAAGGGATGCTGGGAAGAGGGGATGGGACCGCGCATCTGCAGCGCTGGCACAACCCTCCGGCGGAAAGCCCGCTGCGCGCGTTCATTCACCCTTTCAACAATCACTGAACACCCCCGGGTGCCAGGCTTCGATCTCGGAACTGGGCGTCGTCTGACGGTGGCGCGGAGCTGCGACTGCACCGTGGCGGGAAGTGCCCTTCAGGCCGCGGATCGGAGCGGGCAGCAGCGGAGCGTGGAACAGAGTGCGCTGCAGGGGATTGGCCGGCGGCAGGATCGGGCGGAGCAGAACAGCGGCCCCGCGGCCTGTGCAGGTGACCCCACCACCGGACCCTGGCGCTGTGCTTGTGACAGCGTGAGTGAGGTCGCAATGACGACAGCACGTGGGGGGGACGAAGAAGGCGGCTGGCGCCAAGGGCCCCACCTCCTGGTGGCCTTGTGATGGACGCCTGTTGCAATGGATACTACCACCGGTTCACATTTATCTCGCTTGTCACGCCGTTCTGACCGTTAACGACAGAATATTTATGTCTACATTTTAAGGAACACAGAGTCATCAACTAGGAGGCTTGAACTGCCTACTAAAGTCACTGAGGTTGGTCCTGCGCAAAGCCTAGAAAGGCCGGGAAACCCGGGCAGCGACGGAAGGGTTCCGCTCCCGCCTGCATCTGCGGGCCAGCGCCCCGCAGGGCCCAGGAGGGCCGGCGCCCTCCTTGCAGCGAACGTTCCCCGACGGCGGGAGAGTCAGTGACTAACGGCCCTAACGGAGAAGGAAGGTGTATGGATGGTGGTTCTTACCCCGGGGCGATTCTGCACCCCGCCCCCCAGGGGACACTGGGCGAGTCGGGAGACATTTGTGGTTCCCACAAGTTGGGGGTGAGTTGGGGGTGGCGCCTAGTGGGTGGAGACCGAGGATGCTGCTCAACACGGGCCCGGCACTGAAGGCGGGAACCCTGAGGCCTGTGGCAGGGAACGTCCAGTAGGACAAGGGGCTGGGGGAGCTGGTCTTGAGGGGGGTGTCAGGAAGTGGGACGAGCGGGGCAGGCCTGGCTGAGGGGGTCGAGTGTCAGTGGCTGCAGCGAGCGGAGCGCTGCCTGCATCCCCGCTCTGGTGCCCGCCCCGCAATCCGCTCAGCAGCCTTAGATAGGGACGGGGGGATCCGCATCTCCTCCAACTTGGACTTGATGCCTGTTCTCCTGCCTTGTTCCAAGAGGAATGAGACACACACACGCCACCAAATCAACTAAAGGGAGGAGAGAATTTATTCTAAAAAGGCAGGCAAAGGGGAACTGAGAGGGTCAGGAAGGGACCGTGAAGCTAGAAGCCCCGGCCGGCGGGGGCGCGAAGTGCGGAGGAGGTGCCGGCCTGCGCCCAGCGCGGACGCTCTGCGCGGCGGCGGGACTCGGCCCGACGCCTGGGGCGGGGCCGCGGACGGCTTCCCGAGGCCTGTGCCCGAGCCGCTGGGCGCACCAAGGCCTCCCCGCGCTTTCCCCGCGGACAGGGGCGGCCCCCCACACCTGGGCCGCGGTAGGCGGCTTCGCCCACGGCCCGTCCCCGCGCGCTGTCCGGTAAGGCGGGTCCCCCTCCCTCGGAGGGAATGGCCGTCCGCACTGCTGGCTCCGAGCGCGCCTCACGGGAGCGGTGCGTTCCGGGAGAGGGGTTCGAGGCCGCGGCAGGAGCCGCGGGAGCGAGGGGCCAGCCGAGGATTCTGCGGTGCCCGGTCGGCCCGCGCGCGCCTCCCGGGGTCTCCGCCGGGGTCATGAGCTGAGGGGAAATGGCCGTTTCAGCACAGTGTGTGGGTGTGGGTGTGTGTGTGGGGGGGTGTCTGTCCCACAGAGACTCAGGAGACGTGGGGAGGCCGCCCCTGAGCCCGGTGGCACCCCCAGGGAGGCCATGGACCCTCTGGGTGCGCAGCTTCTGCACCTTAACCGTTTCTTCCGTCTCCGCGCCCTTGCGGTACAGGCGCGAGCGGATGGTGGGACAGTTAAGAAACCCTCCTCGTGCCCGTCACCACTGATCTGCTTCCTGTCATTAGATCAGTTTGCTTTTCCACTCAGCAGCATCACTCATAGTTCTTCCCTTCTCGTCGCCGAGGAGAACCGTGCTGCGTGGGGACACCAGCTGGACCGTGCAGCCACCCGCGGGTGGGCACCGGGGCTGCGTGCGGCCTGCGGCTCCTGGGCCTCGGGACCTCCGCGTGCGGCCTCCGCGTGCGGCCTCCGCTGGACGCGTGGCCCCCTCGGCCTGCGTGCGGCCCCGCAGCCCCTCAGCGGCCGCGGCCGCTCCCGCGACCTCGGGCCCCGCGGCCGGAAGCCGCACGTCTGGAAAGCTCAACTTCTGGAAGAATATCTGGTTAGAAATGACTTCTCAGTCAAACTACCAAGAAGGCAACAAAAGAGTGACGAATGAATTAGAACACGGTTTTGAAACTTCTCTCCTGGCTCGGGCCCGGCCGGCGAGGAGCCGGTCCCTCGGCCGCGGGCGCCCGGGCGCGCCCTGAGCCCCGTTTCCCACGCCGCGGCCGCCGCTCCCCGCACACCCTCCCCCACACCCCCCCACCGCCCCGGGCTCTGCTGCAGCCCGCCCGCTGCGAGTCTTCCTCTCCAAGCAGGTTTTACGTGTCCCCTCCGCGCTCTCAGGTTGGAAGGCATGGTGCTGCTTACTGGCCACGGGCCCCACGGCCTGGCCGCGGTCCCGGGGCGCGGGCCCCACGGTCTCCGGAGGGTCAGGAAGCCTCTCCCTGCGCCTCCGCTGCCATTGGGAAGTGGGAATGGTGTCAGCGGTGGTTCCTCCCTCAATGCGCTGCGATGAACTTACACCAGTTATTACATAGAAAAGCTCTTGAACACTGCTTGTGTTTGCTACTTTTCTTCAACAAGCTCACCTTTTATTTAAGAAATCCCCACCCGGCTGGCGTGTTCAGTTGACTGGACCATTGTCCTGTAGACAGAAAGGCTGAGGGTTTGCTTTCGGGGCAGAGCGCACATCCAGGCCGGGAGTGGCCCCGGGTCGCCCAGGCGCATTTGAGAAGGCAACAAATGGACGTTGCCCTCTCTCAGCCCCCCCCCCCCCCCCCCACCCCCCTGCCCAAAAGCAATAAAACATGTCCTCAGGTGAGGGTAAAAGAACATCCCTACCGTCCCTTCTTTTGGCTTATTTGTGCTTTCTAAAACTAATTTTTCAAGTGAGATCCGTAATTCCTTCATTTTCCAGCTCGTCCTCTATCGCCCTCCCCGTTCTCTCTTGTACTTCTTATCCCCCTACTTATTTTTTTAAAGCCTTTGTACGTCTTTCAGAGAATTGCCCTCTGCGGCCTCTCCGCGGGCCTCGCTGGCACGCCTCTGCGACCTGACCCGCTCTCTGCACCCCCCCGCAGACCGTCGGAGCCCCTCTCGGGCCTTTGTTCGGGGGCGGGCAGTTGGGCTTCTTTCTTACTAACTTACAGACGTGCCGCATGTGTTGCAGACACAGAGGCAACCAGCATGTCTCCGGTCGGGGCTGGCCCTCCCTCCGCCCTCCTCATGATGCTTCGGATTGCTCATCGACGAGCTCGCGCATCTGGGGGGCGTGCACCCTGACACAGGCTGCAGTCAGCCCGTTGCCCAGGCAGTGGCAGGTCTCCATCTCAGCGACCTGGGGTCCCGAGAAGCAGAAGGCGTTTGGGGTTCATGACAATGCGGCCGTCATGCACATGGCACACACGCAGCCGTGTCAGTGTGTGCGCTGAATGAAGGACACGGCTGCCGCACGTCTACTGTGCGGGGAGAGGGAGAGGGAGGGGACGTGATGGGCCAGCAGCGCTCGAAGAGGAGCGCAGGGCTGAGAAAGGGCACCCCGCAAAATGGGGGTGTCCTGCCGCTCATCCTAGGGTCCTCTCGTCCCGTGACACAGACCCGTCTTGCCTTCGTCACCAGAGGTGGAGGTCGAGTCAACAGGCACTGCCCGCTGACTTAGCAGCAGGGTCGGCCGGAGGGGCAGGACGTTCTGGGGGGCACACCCTCCTCCTGGGGCCCTTGAGGACAGCTGTGCGCAGGAAGGGTGAGGGCGCAGCGGGAGGAAGCAGAGAACTGCAGGGACTGCAGTCTCATCAGAATGTGTTCTCGGGAAAGGTTGGACATGGCATGGGCCTATCAGCCCTTATGGAGGAGAAAGAATGAATGTGCTTGGGCACCGCGTGGAGTGGGGGGCGGGGGGTTCAGGGAGAGGGAGGGTGGGAAGCGGGCCGTCAAGGACGTGTGCAGTGTTGACAGAAAATGGAGGGTCTACCAGGCAGAGGGCATGGCCGAAGCAAAGGCAAAGAGGCGGGAAGATGCGTCTCTGC